GCCTGCATAGTTATCTGTGCTGATGAGCTCTCTGTGGTCACCTATGCTCTCCTGTGCTGGGCAAACAGGAAATGAAATTCAAATATTCGCGGGGCTTTTCCTGTCTACCTGGCCAGTGCATCCAAGTTCAGATTGCTGTCCAGAGCGGTCACAATGGTGCACTGTGGGATAGCTCCCGGAGGCCAATACCATCGAATTGCGGCCACACTAACCCTAATTCGAAATGACAATATCGATTTTGGCGCTACTCCGCTTGTCGGAGGAGTACAGAAATCGATTTTAAGAGCCCTTTATTTCGAAAGAAATGGCTTCATTGTGTGGACGGGTGCAGGGTTAATTCGATTTAATGCTGCTAAATTCGAATTAAACTCATAGTGTAGACCAGGCCAAAGACTAACAAATTTATTTGAGCATATGAACAGCCTTCCAAGGGGAGTAGTGGGGGCAAAAGACATATCTGGCTTCAAGACTAAGCTTGAGAAGTTTATGGAGGGGATGGTATGATGGGATAGCCTAATTTGGGCAATTAATTGATCTTCAGCGGTAAATATGCCCAATGGCCTGTGATGGGATGTTAGATGGGGTGGGATCTGAGTTACTACAGAGAATTCTTTCCTGGATGCTGGCTGATGAGTCTTGCCCACATGCTCAGGGTTTAACTGATTGCCATATTTGGGGTCGGGAAGGAATTTTCCTCCAGGGCAGATTGGCAGAGGCCCTGGAGGTTTTTCGCCTTCCTCTGGAGCGTGGGGCACGGGTCACTTGCTGGAGGATTCTCTGCACCTTGAGGCTTTTAAACCACGACTTCAATAACTCAGGCGTAGGTTAGGGGTTTGTTACAGGAGTGGGTGAGTGAGATTCTGTGGCCCGCGTTGTGCAGGAGGTCAGACTAGATGATCATAATGGTCCCTTCTGACCTTAAAGTCTGAGTCTATAAGTGGGTTTTAGCCCATGCAAGCTTATGCTCAAATAAATTTGTTAGTCTCTAAGGTGCCACAAGTACTCCACGTTGATTCAGGTTGGTATTTTGACTCCTTTTGTACATTGTCAAAGAGAATAGCACTCTTAGAACCCATAAAAAGGCATAGGAAATAATAAATGAAAAATACACAAACAAAACTATATGTGAGTAAAGAGCATAGCAGCAGCAATTGAAAATACTTCCTATTGTGTTGTTTAAATTAATAAGCTATTGTCACTTTTCTAACTGTTTTCTTTATATTTTCTGTACCCAGCTGCATCAGCAACAAGGAGAAGAGATGCATTATGTGATCTGTATAAATAGTTTTGAATTATATTCCAGGAGACTCCTCCTATGTTGTAGTTGTTGTTAGTAGTAGTATTACCATAGAGAGTAGGACCATATCCTACCAAACAATTTATTGTAAAAGGCATTTCCACTATCCGGCATAAGCCAGATTGGAAGCTAGAGAGCTGCCTGTCTGTGTAAACCAGTAGCTTCATGATCAGTCAATTCTGCTTCTCATGTCACAATTTTGTTACAACGTTCTTTAACTTATATGATCTTTATCATTTTACTTCCAGGTAATAATGAAGATGAACAGACAGTTGCAGAAATCATGAGAAGGCGTTTTTCTCCTGCTGTTGTAACTAGCAGACCCTGGGAAGGTTTTCATTTTGCTGGCCATGAGATAAAAATTATAGAAGCCACCGAATGTTATGGGGCAGTAGTCTGGCCATCGGTACAATATTTATGCAATATTATTGGTTTTTTCCCCCTAAAAACTCTAGCCCTTTAAATTGTTTTGCACATTTGTTGTTCAATCCTGTAAAACCAAGGGAAATGTTCAGCATTTTCTCTGCCTCCTCTTTGCAACCCACAAATCTTTTATGTTAGAGCTGTGCAAGTGGGAGCTGTCCACACATCCGCAGAATTAATCATGAACTTGCTGATGCACAGGGCTCCCTAGTCCCTCAGTTGAAGGACTAGATAAAGGGAATTATATATCATTTTTCAGTTTTTGTGCTTTCAGCAACTTTTGGGTCAATGCCCCCAGTTTCCTTCTGAACCTGCTACAAGTGAAACAAGGGAAAGAACTATTTTGTTCTATCCTGGACCACTAAAAAGTGGCCTTCCTAAAAGTGATTACTCTTGCAAGGAGACCAGAAGAGCTGGCAACCATTACATCTGTTTTTCATGGGTACCCGGGAATTTTCTACCCAAAGTTGTCATCTGACATTTACCGGAACTTGGAAATAGTTTTTAATTTCTGCCCAAACCTGTCTTCAGATGAGGATTGGAAGTAGTGCTTTCTGCTTCAGTAGTGAGTTGAAATATCATGTAGAATGCACCAGATCTATGTGGTTTACTGGCAGCCATTTTGTGGGTATAAGTTAGGGGAGTAAGGAGGGATATAGACGGTTAAGAGGCTACTTGATCAGTCTGTAAGTGCCTACATGGAGAGAAGACTGTGAAGAGTTCTTTAACCTGGCAGACAAAGCCATAACAAGAGCTAATATCTGGAAGCTGAAGCTAGACAACTTGAAAGGAGAAGTGAGGGGCAGAGTTTTAACAGTAATTAACTATTAAAGCTGTTTATCAAGGGATGTGGTGGATTCTCTGTCACTTAAAGTCTTTAAATCAAAATGAGATGCCTTTCTAAAATGTATGCTCTAAATCAGCCAGAAGTTACTGGATTTCAGTCAGGAATTACTGGTGACATTCTATGGTTTGTGTTCTGCTGGAAGCCACACTAGATGATCTCAGCCGTTCCTTCTGGCCTTCAAATCTTTGAATCTATATCCAGGGTTATTGTGGCATATTTCTGCAGCTTATATAACTCAAAGGCGATTGCGAGCCTTGGTCCCTTCAGGAGAGGGATTGTCTTTAGGGGTATGTCTTGTACAGTGCCAGAGCATGAGGTAGGCTCTTAACAAATAATGATTAGTAATGGCTTCCTCCAACCTGCTTGGAGAGAGGGAAGCTTCTTTGGAATACATATACATCAGTTTTGTGTTAATCTGTGCATGTCCAAGGCACTCTACAAATGTGATCTCTCTCCCCCACCCCCAGCCCCCATAGACTAGGAATCAACATAGTAAACAGAAACTAATGTAGGTCTTGAGAGAAAATTTTCAATAAGGATGTAAGAACAACTGAAATATTGTCTTTTGAAAAATCCCAGCAACACACATGGGAACCATACCCCAAAACCGTTATGTTAAAGGGTATTCATGGTCCAACAGAAAACTCACAGAAACATGGAGATTCAGAATCACTGCTTCCCCTCCCTCTGCTGGGGGTGAAGTAAATCTCAGTCTGCCAGCAATTGTTTCTGGGTTGGTTCACCTGGTCCTGACGAAACATCTCCTCTTCATTCTGATAAACCACTATGCTCCCATTATTCTCATTGTTTCTTAAGTTTGAGGCACAGACACAGGAGTCAGGAGACGTGGGTTGTGTTCCCAGCCCTACTGCAAGCTTGTGCTGTGAGGTTGGGCAAGTCACTTTAGCAATCTGTGCTTCAGGCTCCTCATGCCCCCTCACAATGGGGATGACGGTACTTCTTTATCTCACGCAGGGAGGTGGGGAGATGTCGGGCAAAAATGCATGATGTTTGTGAAGTGTTTTGAGACTCTGGAATGGAAGGAGATATTTAAGTGCAAGGTGGTATTGTTCAGATAGCTGTGATTGGAAAAATAATGCTGTTCCAGAAATTAGGCAGCAGAAGGCGTTGTTGGAGGCAAAATATATAATCTCTGCGTCAGGTAATGGATAAAGGATGATCTTTTATTGCAAGAGAGAGCCAAGATAAAAATGTGCCTTATTACTGTGCAGTTGGACTTATTCAGCTTAAATAGATGTGAAATAAATTACATAAAATCTTGACTTTTTAAAAAAGCTATTTTTCTTGTAATTCATATTCAGAAAGGTCAGTGCTCATGTAGCTATGGATTTTATGTGTGCACAGAGTGGTATTTCTTTTTGTTTTGTTTTGTTCAATATGTTCTTGTTTCCCCCGGCAGGCTCTTGTTCTATGTCACTTTTTGGAAACAAATGCTAAACAATACAGCCTGGTTGATAAAAGTGTAATTGAAATTGGAGCTGGAACAGGGCTGGTCTCCATAGTAGCCACTTTACTTGGTAAGTGCTGGCTGTTGCTTTGCTGGGTTTGGAAACTTCATTAAGATGAATATTGATGACTATTGGAGCATATAGTAAGTTGTTCAGTTCCTCTAAAATGTTGTTGAAAACCGAGGAAGAAACACTGAATTCTTTGGGGTTTTCAGCCAACTTGGAAGCCAGTTTTGCTTTTATCTCCATAAAATTACTTGCCCTCACTTTAGAATGCCTTGTGGGAGGGTACAGTAGATGTGGCTGCCATCCAGTATTAAACAGAGGACAGAAATTAGGTGCTGTGAGAACTAGGGTTCTTACTAGACCAGGAGGTCAGAGATATATAGAAGCGGCTGGATTCAGACACAACCTCTCACAAGAGCAGTTTATCTTCTGACTATTAAATAACCCCTTCCTGGTTTCCCAAGTCACTTCTATATTCCAATTTGTAACCTGTTCTTTCAGAAACGTATCCTTGAGCTTGCTGTCCCGACATTGTCCATTCTGTCTTCTTTCCTGACAGCCTGTTCTTTACCAACAGTAACTGGAACCCCTAACGACCGCAATGTAACCGAGGACACAATTTAGCTTGCAGTGTCTTTTATTACTGTATGAGAAGAAAACAATCCAGGGGATTCTCAGATCCCAGGCTGACTTTGCAGGGTTGTAGTTAAAAACCCCTCCCCCATCTTTTGACTTGTATATCAAGCAGATTTGATACAAAGACTCCATAAAAGTGGATTCCCAGGATATCATTTTGATCTTGCAGAGCAGGACCATATTTTAATGATATTTTTGGTGTGAAAACCTAATATACTTTTCTAGTGTAATGAAACGCACAGGAGGTTTTTTACAGGTATATTGTACATATATATGGGAGAGACCTGGAAAAGCAATTGTTTTTGCAGTAGGTTTTGTGTACAGATTACTTCTTAATTCTTCAAGGGTTAATCCTTGGTTGTTTTTTGTCATAGGTGCACATGTGACTGCCACAGATCTTCCTGAAGTACTAGGAAACCTTCAGTACAATATTCTCAAAAATACCAAAATGAAATGTAAGCATCAGCCCCAGGTTAAAGAACTCTCCTGGGGAGTTGATTTAGAGAAGAACTTTCCCAAGTCTTTGTGTCAGTTTGACTACATCATGGCTGCTGATGTTGTGTACTACCATCCCTTCCTGGAGGAGCTGCTTCTTACCTTCCATCACTTGTGTCAGGACAACACTGTTATTCTCTGGGCCATGAGATTCAGGCTGGACACAAAGAACCAATTTATGGGCAGATTTCAGGAATTGTTTGACCTGGAGGTAATTTCCAATTTCCCCAGTTTAAACATAGCATTGTATAAGGCGATGAGAAGAGGCAAGAAGATGACGTGATTTCCAACTTGAGTATTAGAAAGTGTGTGTGTGTGGAGTTTGAGTTTCTTCACAGGTTCCATGTTAATGCTTGATGACACCTGTAGATTATGGTGCTTTTTAGGGTTAAATCAATGTCCTGTCATAAACAAAATATAAAACTTCTTACATGCTTGAAAAGATATCCTAAATTAAATTTTCATCTACTGGTACATGTAGGGGGAACATATCGTTGGCATTTTCTGAACTTTAGTTGCTAAACTGTGCAACACTAATATTTTTCACAGGTTATGCGGATCATATATCCACAATGCTGTAGTATTGCTGCCAACAACTTTCCATTGCAGCTTATAATAGTGCCTGATAAGATCAGATGACTACACACAACATAAGATTATAATCTATTTAAAATTAAAAATTGTGGTATCAAATTGCACTCTGATGTTTCCACACCGCCACCCACGCTGTTCAAAGTCGCGTTCTTTTAATAACTCCCACAGGACAATAAACCAGACTGGATAGAGTACGGAAATATATACTGTAGTGAATAATCCCATGGCAAGCTTTCTGTGGCATCTCAGATGTGAGCTCCATGCAGGCAGCATGCCTTTTGGGATGTCAGGGCAGCAGATGGATGCCTCTGTCCCCTTCAGAAGAAAGTCCCTTCCCACCACCACCCTTTGTCTTCTCTTATGCATGGTGATTATGAGCCTCACAGCCTTGGGGCAAGTGACTCTTCTTCCTCATGTTGTAAACTTTAACAAATGGTCTTGTGTAAGAATAGTGCAGCATATTACCAATTCCCTTTTAAAAAAAATTCTCAAATCTTTGGAGCTTTGCCCCTCTCAAAATAGACAACTGTGGACCTCTAGCTCTGAAAGCACAACAATATGAACAATTGCCCTCAAGAAAATGTTTTGCATCACTGCCTCACTGTGGTAGCTTGAGACCAAAATGACTTAATTTGCATGCTTAATTATGGGCAGATCATAGGAAAAAGTTGCTTAGCGTCTTTGGATAGGCCCACTGTGACTGTCTATCTGTATCCCTGTGTTCACCTTTTTACAAAACTGTAATGCATTTTGTACAAAGTATGCCATGGGAGGTATCATTTGAAAATTCATAATTTACTGATCATTATTGTCCTGGTAAACGGTGTGTGGCAACATTGTATGTAAAGTTATAAGACTCTACTGCAGGGGTCGGCAACCTCTGGCACACGGCTCACCAGGGTAAGCACCCTGGCGGGCCGGGCCAGTTTGTTTACCTGCTGCGTCCGTAGTTTCGGCCGATCACGGCTCCCACTGGCCGCGGTTCGCCGCTCCAGGCCAATGGGGGGGCGGGCCGAGGGATGTGCTGGCCACCGCTTCCCGCAGCCCCCATTGGCCTGGAGCGGTGAACCGCAGCCAGTGGGAGCTGCGATCAGCCGAACCTGCGGACGCGGCAGGTAAACAAACTGGCCCGGCCTGCTTACCCTGGCGAGCCACGTGCCAGAGGTTGCTGACCCCTGCTCTACTGTATGAGATTGAGACATATTCCAACTCTGCAAAAGCAGGCACAAACCAGTTCCCCAAAGACAAAAGGCAAACTGACGCCTCAGCCAGGTGTCAACAAAATCACATGGACTATCACCTGGTTAGGCTGCCATTCTTTGGTAGGAAAAAGGGTGTGAGTAAGAAATTTACATCTTGGCAAATAAACAGCTGGAGGTTCCCATCTCCTCAGACCTTCTGTCTCCTGAACCTCATCTGGAGATAATTTTTAAAATAAAAGAGAACCATAAGAAAGGGGAACAGATGCCTCAAAATACTCCTCCCTTTCTCTCTACCCATGACATCAACAACACCTGAAAGACAAGGAAAGTAACACTGAACTGGGGAGGGGGGTTATGTGGAAGAATCCTGGCCAACTGAAATCCAGACAGTAAGACTGTTCAAACATGTGGTGAGAGAGACCTTTGCTTTGAATTCATTTAGCTTGTTAAGTTAGATATTAATTGCGTTTTACCTTTTATTTTGTTGTAACCAACTCTGACTCTTATGCCTCATTACTTGTAATCACTTAAAATCTATCTTTCTGTAGTTAATTAAACTTGTTTTATCTAAACCAGTGTGCTTGGACTGAAGTGTTTGGAAAACTCCATTTGCGATATCAAGGTTTGTGCATATCACTTTCTATTAATGAAATGATGGATTTATATGAGCTTGTATTGTCCAGAAGGGTGCCAGGCAGTAATAAGAGACACATTTCTGGGGGAAAGTCTTGTACTGGGAGTTTGCTGGTGTTGCCCTGCATGGGTGGCTGGCTATAGCATTTATACAATATAGCTGGGAGTGATTTACATTCTGGAGGCTGTGTGAGAGCAGACCAGGAGTTGTTACTCTCACAGCAAAGCAGTGTAAAAGGCACCCTAGGGTGGAGAATTGAGGGGACACAGCTGTCCATCAGTCAAGATCGTACCCTGGGTAATTTCACTCCCACAAAATAATTGTTCTTTAATTGTAATAGATTTCTGATGACCACACGACTTTGCTTGGAACTGACCAGAGAATTTTGTTTTAGGGAGGTTTATATGAATTCTTTGGATACTACTAAATTTCCTGAGTCACTTAATAAGTAAGTATGAGATCTTCAGGTCAATTCCAACCTAACTATGCAGAAAGGCAAATCCAGCTGCTTGTGCTGGGGTCCACGCATAGAGTTACCATCATTTAAAAAAGTTTTGTCAAGGACAATTGTTCAAATAACCTGGGATCTTGGGGGCTGATAGGCCCCCACCTAACACAGCCTTTCTTTGTGCATTTGTGTGAATTGTAGCACTTGTTTATGCTGATTTACAAAATGCATTAATCATCACAACTCCAGGGTCAAACTGGAAAAAAATAAGGCAGAAAAATGAAGCGACTTGTCTAAGACCAACGAGTGACAAAACATACATTTGAATGCAAGGATCCCTTGTTCTCAGTCCTGCTCTTGGTCCACTAGGCTATGCTGCTTCTCAGACTATTGAGCTTTCATTCTCCCAGTGGTTAGGGATGTCGGAGAAAAACTGAGTTCTCACTCTTTTGTTTGGGTACAGCAAGTCAGAAGCTTTATTAACTTTCACAATTGTGCAGAGGGAGAGAGCTAAGCAGGTCTCTCCCTGGTACCTAATTACAGCAAGCATTTATACCTTTCATTACAGAAAATAATGAGGGACAGCTGCATCTTGTTATACATATGCCATCTTGATATCTTACTTCCTTAATTGTTTTGACTCTTGCCAACATGCAATATTTTCTATACCTTATCTACACAAGGTCTTCTACACCTTATCTATACAAGGTCACAATAACTCCTCACACAGTACTTTCTCACCCGCCTCTCACAATCCTCGCTTCTACAAATCTCGCGTTATCAGGCCTACAGTTAGCCTGACTCTTGCTAACAAACTGTCTTGCATTGCAGTTCTTTTCTGACAGTTCTGTTTCTGCTTCCACAGGGAGCACAGTGGCTCTGGACAGAGGGGCCAGCTCAGCTGCAGGAGGCAGCAAGGAGGGACCTTGTGGTGATCCTAGAGTTATCCATGGCTCCCAGCACAGCCCAAGTGGGATGGGAAATGTAGAGAGAATGGACCATGATCTCGTCTCCCCCTTTTTTAAAATCTGGTGGCAGATATGGCAAAAGCCAGCGTTGGATGTTAGGTGGGGATGAAAATTAATAATTGAGAATTTTTAGGAAAAAAATCAATGCCAAACTTTCCACCCTAGTGGATCAGTTTTTGTTTCCAAAACTCTGCACAGGGAAAAAAGGGATACAATTTTTTTTAAAGAAAGCAGAGTCCCTCTGCCATTTCTAGATTCCCTGAATCATAGGAGCTTGTGGCTGTGAACCTGGCACCCCGAAGGTCATTTGTACATAGGAACACGTAATAGATATATGAATAGTGCTGGCTATTAACATGTAATTAACAACAAGGCCAAACCCAAAACTGGAAAGTTCTTTAAAAGGGGAAATGAACTCCAAAATATGTCAGGGAAATATGGCTGGTTGTCTGAAAGAAGAAAACAGAAACCTTCTGTGTTACAAAGAAGCAATAATATGCAGCTGCTTTTCAGTGGCTGTTATACTGATTAGTTCTTCAGCTAAGGCCCAGTTCTTCAAAGGGACTCCAGTATGTGGACAGCCTGAAGTCAACAGGATTGGGTCCATAAGGTGAACTGTTTATTAACATTACTCTGTTTTCTCACACCTCTGTTTAGCAAAGTTGTATGAAACTTCCTGGGAATGCTTTAGTGGCTATCTGTTCTATTGTGCCTGTGACCTTTGGTCCTCTGTTATGACTAGCAGTGAATTAGCCATGACCAATGTGAGGTTGGAGGTCATATACTGTATTTGCATAGAGAAATTATTTCTTTTCTTCAGTAATAGTCCTCCCACAATAATGTCAAGTATGGTTATAGCTTCCCAAGGCAAGTTCCCAACGAACTATATTTTTTAAAATTACTTACACAGAGTTTGGTTTTTGTTCCTCTTTAAAAAAGAGAATCTAATGCCCATGCTAGCTGTTGGCTTGCTAAAGTACTGGTGTATTTGCATTGCACATAACTGTACTCTCTAGTCTAAAGATCTTTGATAGCTACAATTGGTAGTTGTTTTGAAGGAGGAGAAAGCAATGAAGTCCAACAATTTTTTATAAGTGAAAGCCCTAACTGTGAGGAATTGCTACAAAGGCTGTAGTGAGATTATGTTGGCTATGAGGAGAAGGCTATCCAAATTGGGAGGTACTGTATAGAACAGTTAGCTGGTTTTCCACATAATTTTACTTTATGTGCTAATCTAACAATTATTTCATGAACAACAATATCTGTAAAGTAATGTGACCACATTTGTTAGAATTTCCTTGCCTCAAATATCTTGCATTTGAATCTTAAACTTTAATGCGTTTCATCCATTTAATTTTATCTAGTATTTATACAAACATTACAGCAATGTTCTTCCATTCATTGCGTATCATAGTGTCTAGAGAGTTCTATTTACAATTTTTTACTTTTCACTATTAAACATTAAAGTAACAAATTTCCTCATCCGTATATGGTTTCCATATGCTCATATTGAATATTTTTCTCTTACTGTCATACAATGAGGTTGTGTGTCTAAATGATTACCCTACATTTTCCATGTTCATGCGACTAGATCAGGCTTTTGTCTCTAATAGGTGCAAGAGGAAATGCTGCTGCTGCTGAGCATTTCAAAGAGTTCAACTGGAGTGTAGTTCTTTTGGCAGCACCAATATAGTGGAGAGGTGTGGCCTAAAGAATACAACTGCCAAGAAATTTTCAGCGCACATGGTCGCTGGGTAGCAAATAGCTTGTACCAGATTTTGCACCTCTATTAGTCAGTATAAGGTTAACAGCACTCACTCAAGTTGCATTGCATAGCCTCATCAACCTCTCTTTGTACTGCGGAGAAGCTGGAGACATATTGACTGTCACTAGGCTGAAGAATGTAAGTGAGTAAGTTGGAGGGGTCCTGATGATGTTTATAAACATTTGGGTTAACCCGAGGTACAGAAGAGCGAGGGGTCTTTAGGAAGAGGTGGCTTTTTACAGGTACCATGGATAACACAAGAGTCAGACATAGACTTTCCTATCCTCAAATTTTTGTCCTGAGATGCAGGCTTTTGGGAGATTTCTCAGGCCCTCAGGAATGCCTCCACAATTATGGGAATCTTGGACTGGTCATGGCCATCAGTGCTACAGTGGTAGCAACCATGGAGTGACCTCAGATAGTTTAGAAAAGGAAGAGAGATGTGTCCAGGCAAGACATCACTGTTGCATCTTAACACTTTAAAGTCATAATGGATTTATCTTCACAATACCTCTGTGAGATAGGGAAGCATTATTATTCCCATTTTACATATGAGCAGGTTGTGAGGCACAGATTAAGTGACTTGCCTAAGGACACACAGGAAGTCTGTGGCGGAGCTAGGAACTGAACCCAGATCTCCTGAGTGAGAGTGCATACCTCAAACCACAAAAATGACAGCTCTTGATTCCTTGTGCCCTACTATTGTTGGAGTTCACATGCAGTAAAGCAGGAGTTACATTATTGTTATGATTTAAGTTATTTTTCAAGTCTGGGTTGTTGGGGTTTTTTTTTTTT